CATATGACGGTTTATTACTCCGTTGTCTATCTAATAGAGAAGCGGAAGAAGCACTCAAAGAAGTGCATGACGATACATGTGGCGCACATCAGCCCGGTCCCAAACTCTGTGATCGACTTAGAAGGATGGGATACTATTGGCCTACCATGGTAAAAGATGCGGTCGATTATGCCCGACGAAGCCAAGTGTGTCAAATACATGCAAATTATATGCACCAGCCTCCGGAATATTTTCACCCGTCAGCGACGTCGTGGCCATTTGAAACTTGGGGAATGAATATTGTAGGCCCTATTTTCCCACCTTCGGTTAAAGGTGATCGTTTTATTCTGGCAATTACTGGTTACTTCTCGAAATGGGCAGAAGCAGTTCCACTTAAAGAAGTAAAGACGAGTGATGTTATCAAATTCATTAAACATCACATCATATATCGATATGGTGTCTTGAGGTGAATAGTGCATGACAATGGTCCTTAATTTGTCAGCAATGCATTTATCAAATTCTGCGATAAATTCGAAATTAAAGACATTTCATCGACTGCTTATAATCCCACAGCTAACGGATTGGCCGAAGCTTTCAACAAGATTGTTATCAAGATTTTGGCAAAACTTGTGAAAGTCAATAAGCGGGACTGGGATGACAAACTCGGTGAAGCTCTATAGGCTTATCGTACAACTGTCCGTACGCTAACTAGAGCAACCCCATACTCCTTAACATATGAATGCAAAGCTATCCTTCCTTTAGAAATACAAATTCCCTCTCTTCGCATCGCTCTCGCAACGAGAATGACGATAGAAGAACATCACCAGAAACGTCTCGAAGAATTAGAGATGTTAGATGAAAAGCGCTTGGAAGCTCAGTAACAAATCGAGTTTTATCAGGCTAGAATTTCTCGGGCTTTTGATAAAAAAGTCCGACGATGAAGCTTTAAGGAAGGAGATCTGGTTCTTGCCGTTCGGAGACCCGTGATTCTCAATTCCAAGAAGAAAGGAAAATTCTAACCCAAATGGGAAGGACCGTTTGTAATAGAAACAATCTATTCAAACGGTGCGTATCGCCTGATCACCCAGGATGATAACAAATTAATGATGCCAATAAATAGGAAGTTCCTGAAGAAGTACTATCCATAGTATGTTCAGGATAATCTATGTAAAACGGGAAGTTCTTAGAGAATCATGTGTTGGATATTTTCAGGATAACCCGAGATCAGTTGATTGTTATAAATAGAAACTGATCATTTGAATAATTCATTCTTAATTATTATGAAAATGATTAAGATTCTTTCACTGTGGTAATTTAATTATTTCCTAGGTAATTAAGAACATTCCATTGTGACTTTCCAAGCATTTTGTTTAGATGAGATTCAACGACAAAATACAGTTGGTCTTTCCTCATGAAACACCCACAGTGTAATTGTGGGGGATTAGATGATTCATAACCCCACACTCTAAAATCCCTCGCCGATCGAATTAATCGACGGTGGATCCACCAAAATCCATCGACTAAAATCCTTCAAACTACTATTGTATCTAGTTTTTAACATTCCCGATGCTGAAAGTATGATTCAATATCAAAGAAAATTCCAATTTATTGGTCCATATCAATCGCCGAATCCTGTCGTGTCGAATTCTTGTGTTTGAGATCAAAAATTCCCACTGAGTGATGTGTACAAGTCAACAGTCCCATTGTTATTTGTACCCCACTCCCATTCCTTATTTGGTCAGACCTTCCTACAGTTAGGGTCAAAGCTAAAATCCCCTCTCGATTCCTTTCATGAATAAGAGGCTCATCTTCAAAACTGAGATTCCTTTTCGATAAATGAAAGGTGCTCAATTCCATTTGAACAATTTAGCCTATTAAAGGTAAAATTGTCTCAACTCCCACTTGGTCAAACCTTACTACAGTTAGAACCACAACCAAAATCTCCTCTCGTTTCATTCCATGAATGAAAGGTCCACTTTCAAGTTGAATAATCAAACATTATGACAGTTAGGATTATTCAAACTAGTCCAGATTCTCTAAGTGGAGATCTCACTTTGAGTTTCCTTTGCACCAGGAGATAGAATATAAAATTCTTCCTCATTCTCTAAGTGGAGATCTCACTTTGAGTTTCCTTTGCACCAGGAGATAGAATATAAAATTCTTCCTCTCTGATTTTGGGTTCATCTCGAGATAGAATATAAAATTCTTCCTCTCTGATTTTGGGTTCATCTCTACCAACAAATAAGAGACCAGGAGAGAGAATATAAAATCCTTCATCTCCGATTTTGGGGTTCATCTCTACCAACAAATAAAAGACCAGGAGAGAGAATATAAAACTCTTCCTCTCCGATTTTAGGTTCATCTCTACCAACAAACAAGAGACCATGAGAGAGAATATAAAATTCTTCCTCTCCGATTTTGGGATTCATCTCTACCAACAAATAAGAGACCAGGAGAGAGAATATAAAATTCTTCATCTTCGATTTTAGGGTTCATCTCTACCAACAAACAAGAGACCAGGAGAGAGAATATAAAATTATTCCTCTCCGATTTTGGGTTCATCTCTACCAACAAACAAGAGACCAGGATATAGAATATAAAATTCTTCTCCTTTGATTTTTTGGGTTTATCTCTACCAACAAATAAGAGATTGAGAAATAGAATATCCAATTCTTTCTTTCTAATCCTAGGTTCATTTTCCTACCTAGGAAATGTAACCAACTTACATTTTAAAATCCATGTCGTTCATGCATGGGGGATGTTATCTCTATCTCTTAATAAAGATAAGCCTACATCTAACACATGTAGCCTACATATTCAATATTGTAGTCTAAAGTCTAAGAGAGTTTAATTCTTTTAGCCTAACGTTATATGTGAAACAGATATAGATAATTCACATACTAGCCCGACTCAAACGGTAGTCGGTAAAGGCACATCAAACCCATTGAGGGTTGGGGGTTTACCAAAAATCCTATAAGTATTATCGTTACTTACTCTAAACAGGAATAAGTAATCGTAATAAAATTTTAATAAGCAAAGAGTTCACTATATTCATCAAAAGTATTCAAACAAAGCTATATATATATATATATATATTATATATATATATATATATTCTCAAATTACAACAGCTTATAATGATGAATTTGATCTTTAAGTTTGGAGAGCTCTATCGTATAAGCCTGTTCAAGCTCTGCTATCAAGTTAGCTTTAAAACTCCCTTCGTTAACACTTTGAAGTTTGATGATCTCTTATTCTTTTTCAGCAAGTATTTGGTCTTGAAGATTCAGCTATTGAAATAGGTTCGACTCGGCTCGAGTTAATGCTTCCAGCTCAGACTCCAAAGCTTCATGAGCATCTTCGGCCTTCATAAGTTGTTCCTTCAAGCGAGCTATCTCGGCTCAACCTGACTCTAAATTCTGATGCAAGTCAATCTTGGCTTGTGCCTTCTTGGCAATACTTACCCTGATCTGACTAACACGGGTCCTTAATTTTTAGAGTTCGAATTCAGCTGATTTCTAAGAATCACACCACGCCTGTAGTCTTAAATATATTTGAGAAGCAACATAAGAAGACACGCCAGTGGTACGAAGATCCCTTAAATGTTCAACATTCTGTTTGAGGTCGATTAAATAAGTTTCGATCAAATCGGCCAACTCGGCATATCCGTCTTCTCTAATTCCTAAGATATGGCGATCGAGAGATCTTTTAAAATTCTCGAAAGAGGATACTTTGAGGATAACTTGATCGACAATAGTATTCAAGAAAAAGATAAAACCCTAAAGATCAGAGCAAATGACAGCTTTGTCTGGATCTTTGTCTGCCAATAAAGCTTGGATACGATCGGACAATGATGAGGGAAGAGCTGCGATGAGAACAGATAAAGTCAATACAAAATTTATAGGCGCATACATAGCAACGAATGTGATTATCCTAAGTTCAACGGGAAATTCCATGACTTAATTACCTTGACTTGTCGACGCTAAGACGTGCTCCACAGCAACCGAAGTTTGTTCAGGAATAATATTCGGCGGTTGATTCGCCACATCAGACGGTTGTTTAGTTTTGGCTTCTGACGGCTTCGGGTCCAGATCGACAGGTCCCTTAGAAGTAGATTCTACAAACGAGATAGGATGAATAAATATTCCAAAGGCGTGAATCAAATTATAAAACACATTAAAGACATGATGTACCAAGTGGAGTAGTAGTTGTGGTGATTTGCTCTTCCACAGTTGCCTTCGACACTCCGACTTCGTGAACAAGTAGGGACGGATCAGAAATTGCAACGGGCTCAGTCTCAGCAGTATCATAAGTCGGAGGAACAATAGCTGGCGGTTCAATTTCAGCCGGGGGACCTGTCAAAAGTAGGAAACCCAGGCCTTCAGGTTGGTCGGATGCACCAATGATAGTAGACGCATCAACTTCAATAATAGGTCCTACGACTAAGATTCTTATTTAATTATTAAAATGAGAAACAAGAGGTTAATTGAAGACCTAAGTTTGAAGGTACATACCTTCTGATGTACCTACTTTAGTTGAACCAACTCTATTAGTTGCTCCTGTAGTAGCAGTAGGAGCTTGGTCTGACAGCAGATCGAAAATACGTTGATGGTCATCTTCGGAGATATTAAGATTGAAATCATGCTCGCTAATGTCTCCGATCTCCACATCATGAGTAATTTCCTGGTCTCCTGGCTCATTTGCAGGATATCTACGGGACAGAAAGACCCATCAGTACATACGTAAGGGTATGAATGAACCAAACTGAATAAAAAAATTACCTCCAACAACAGCGGTGGGATCAACAATATTACTACCCGCATCCACTTCCTTTAGTTTAACTAAAAGAAGATAAAGTGCACATTTTAGCAGAAGACATGTTCTGATTCACTGATTTCTTGGAATTGCCCTCCAAATGAGAAAATATTTGTACCTGTGTCGGCGGTCAGCGGGGTCGATGTAGTGACAAGAGGAATAACGGTGTCTATACCGACGGGTTCTTCACTCATCGCTCTATGCACCTATTGAGTGAAACTTGATTCATCAAAGTCCATTAAACTAGGGGATGAGGGTTCGGGCACAATTTCTCCTTCTTCTTCTTGCCCACCTGCGACAAAAAAAGAATAAATAAGATTTTATATTCGAAAATAAAATAATGAAAGAGCGACAAGAATGAAATTTTACCTCCTTCGTCAACCGGAAGGTCTTGGGTAAACTCCTCTTCAGATAAAGGGGGGAGTTTACGTTGTCGATGGACAGTCTTCTTAATTCTCTTCAATAGACGAGCATCTCTTGGACCCTCAGAACTCTCATGACAAAATTTCATGCGTAGTTTAGTTCCTTGAGAAGGGCGGGGTTGAGCCTCGGAAGAAACAGGAGATCGGGATCTCTTCCGGCTAATGAGCGGGGTGACATCTTCCTCCTCCTCTTCTTCTTCTTCCTGCACAGGCCATCTGACAGTCATCTTGTTAGAAGATGACAAAGGAATAGTCTTCTCCTTCATCTGTATCGGCTTTGAAGGAGCACCGAGTGATTTAGGTGGAGAAACCCGATGAGTTCCGTGGGTTACGGGAGAAGGAGGAATATCGGTTTCTGCTTCACCTTCGGTCTCATCCTCCTCACTAGACGTTTCAAATTCGTCACTCTCCTTTGAATTAGCTATCTGCTTTCCTTTACGGGAAGATGTAGTAGGCTCTTTTCCTCTTCTAGAAGGTATAACTCTTTGGACTACAGCTTCCGCTTCTAGTTTAGAAATCTTCTTCTTCGTAACGGGCATGTTGGCGGCTAATAACCATCGGCAATATAGAAAAGTCATTTGAAGTTTAGGTTCAGCAATGGGCAAGCTAAAAGTAGTCCCGGTTAGGGCTGAGCATGGTTCGGTCCAAACCGAAAAAACTGACCGAACCAAACCGAACCGATTCGAAAAAATCGGTTTTATGAGTAGGGCGGTTCGGGTCGGTTTGAAAACTTTTCAACCCGAACCGACCCGAACCGACCGAATATAGTGCAATACTACCCAATCTGATCTCAAACCCTACCCGACCCGTCCCCAAAGAGTCAAAGACTCGAACTCTAAACTTATTTTTTGGATCATTATGGGTTGAAAACAATATCATTATATCAGTGTTTAATACTTCATAATCTCCTACTTTGTTGATATTTTTTTTCTTTACACAGTTTGTTGTTTGATAAGAAGTTTGATGAAGTTAGAACCAAACAAACCGAACCGAACCGTACCGAACCGACTTGCAACAGTTCGGTTCGGTTTTGAATTATAGGCGGTTCGGTTTGGTTGTTCAAATTTTGGTAAAAACCGAACCGAACCGACCGTTGCACACCCCTAGTCCCGGTACAACCGATGACATTCCAAAACCAAGCCCGCACTCCATCGATAAGACCTCCACAAGTTGTTAGCCATTTGTTTGGGTTCTCGATGTATAACTGATCGCCAAATTATCGTGCAAATCTGCAAGGAAGGTATGGTTCGATCCTGCACATATTTTTTGACCGAAAAACTATATAACCTGGTCGAATGTTCATAAGTCAATGAAAACTACCCATATTAAGAGAGATCCTACTAGTCCCAGGCATTTTCTCATCAATGAGCATGTCACTATGCGCACCAGAGAATCGGGGGAAACATTTATAAAACTCCTAACACTTAGAGTTCCAGAATTGTCTCACCACATCGAGCCATTGTCGAGAAGGACTCAACCATCTACATCCTTCTAAAAGCTGTAACAGAGGAATTTATGGATCAGATACGTCAGGAGCCAACATCATATCAGTTTGGTGAAGGACTAACCATGCCATTAAATATGTATATGGCAGTTCTACCCTTGACATAGGAATTTTGCTTGAAGGCAAGGCGCCCACTTTTATGAAGGTGTTGGCTAAGTTGCGTAGGCCGCTATGGATGTCGGCAATCATGGCTGAGAGCAAAGATAATTCACCTCCGACGGCCAATTGGACGGTAGGAAACAAAACTTCAAGAGGGAGAGCATCTGAAGACTGGTGTGGTACTACACACTTCTTTAACCATATTCGCCGGTAATCACTAAGAAGAGCTGATATCTCGTTTTAGCCGAGATAGACGCTTCAGGCTTCTAGATCTTACGCGGATCAACGAAGCTCTGTCCGATTTTTCGGAACAGATCTGAGTGCCCGGTGGTCCACGGATATTAACGTCCCCGTCACAGGCAAAAGACCCACGCAAGCAAGAGACCGTAAAACAGGATCTTGCGTTTGTTTGAAGGGAGTTGTAACCTTTTTGTTTTCATTGTGTAAAAGGTCTTATCAAGAGGGAGAGCATCTGAAGACTGGTGTGGTACTACACACTTCTTTAACCATATGGCTAAATAGCCGGCAAGAAGGGTCTCAGGCTTCATATTTTTCGTGGCCTGCCACAAGAAAGTCCTAAATTTCGTGCCGCTGGGGAAAGCACCTTAAGAAGATCCAATTGTATAAGATTGATCGTTGATCTTCACGATCAGCTTAGTAACATCGGAAGGTGTCAGTGGAGGTGATTCACAAACTGCTTCACCAGTCGGACTTTCGAGATTCTGGAATAAATAATCGGCGAATTGCTTTAAACTGATTTGAGTAGCTTTCTTGCTCTTCACTTTAATTTTTGCTATCGCCGTCTGATAATGACAGGTCAATTCCCAAAGAATGTGGTAGACCACGGGACCCATCCTCTTCATTCGTTGAAGTTGACGATTGGAAGGAAAGTATTCTTAGTACGGGACGTTCCCTATCGGTAACCCTGACACTTTCATCATCTCGTGGAGCGGAAGTCCTAACTCCCCATACTTAGTGAAGAATGTGTTTGTATCCGGGTTATAAGACTCGAATAAAGCGAGAAAATGATCTATGCTTATCGGCAGACCATACATGCTAGCTCGAATAGGGATATCTAATCCTATGTTAGCTAACTCTTGACCCCAACGTCCGAGCACGTAGTTAGTCATCCTGGACTACCATTTGTCTACAAGTGAATAAACCTAACCAAAACATCTAAACTTCTTTAGAGGAAATTCTCTACCAATTTGAGCAAGTCAGTTCTTTACTATGTTGGCCCTTATCATCAGTTCGTTGTGAGGCCCGCTATCCGGTCCAAGTACCCCTAGGTGAAGACCACTAATTGTATGACGATCACTAGAGCCAAGAGCACTAACATCCTTACCGATAAACCCGCAATGGATGCGTTCGTGGTCATCTGTCAAATGCCACAACATCTTCCTCGAAACGGTTAAGTTCTGTAATTGTAAGAATGAGTAGTGTCGGGGGAACTGGGGAAGAAATAGAAAGTCTCCATCATACTTGTTTAACCAGGCTTTAGGACCACAGCAAAGGTTGTCAGGATCTTCAACTGAATCCCCGAACAGATAACTAGGTTTCCTTAGTGGATCAGTGGAGTCTAGAGTAGGTGTCAGAGGTGAGTCGGTCAGCAACTGACACAATGTGCGACGACTTCCCTCGTAAATCAGCTCAGGGATGCTATCAGTGCAATCCTCATTAAACTGACGAGCTCCTCTAAGTAGAAAATTGCCATCAAAAGAAGCCTGAAGAGTACTACCTTGACCGGTGTTTTCTCCATCAGCAAAAGGGACGAAAGGAAAGTGGACTACAAACAAACATGAGATATAGTTGATAAAGAAGCTAAAAGAACTAAAAACGTTGTTCCTAGTAGCCGCGGCAGTGTTCACTGCCGCGCATTGCCGCGGCAGTGTATCCACGAGTTTGAGCCAAACTTGTATTTTGGCCATGGTACATGTCTTGATTAAACAAGATATGTAATTTGGTAGCGTCAATCCCCTCGAAGGAGGATGTCAACTCTTCCTGGATGACTCTCAAAGGAGACAAATAGGGAATGTACACAAAATCAATTTGTTTAAACAGAGAAAAGGATGAAGAGCTTATCCCCAAAGGAAGAAGCTACAGCCTCGGCCTCTTCTGACGTTTGGGCCACTGATTTGCCCTTTGGAACGCGAGATCTCTTAGGAGACATGGTGGAATCAACCTAAAAAGCAAGGAAAATTAGGGTTTCGGGATGATATCTCGAGTTTAAAAAACAAAATAAACCCAAAATACAAGAGAGGGGTGCGGTTCTACCAGAGATTGAAGAGAACCAAGCTTGGAGAATCGAAGAATCGAAAGAGAAGCTTGAAAATCAAGAAGAACACCTGAAACCCTAGATATTGTTCGAATAAGAATCACCGAAATATGAAGAGGTGAGGAGGGGAAGAGCCAAAGGGTACCTTTTATAGGATATTTAGGAGGGTTTCGAACTCAAAGAAGTGGGGAGAAATAACACAAAAAGGCCCGACAATCGACTTATAAGCCCGACTGAGCGCCTTTACGTGCGGCAGTCGATGCTGACGCACAAGCGCGCGGCAGTCGATGCTGATGCGCAATCGCACGACAGTCAATACTGAGGCGCAAAAGGTTTCACGTGCACACGGTGATTCCATGGGTGTTTGTATACATACATTTCCAATTGTATTTGGAATACATTCCTAAAAACTCCAATGAGTATATGAGTATAAACTACATCTCCCTGAACCTCCCAACGGGTATACGAGGTTAAACTATTTCTCGAAAACTCCAATAAATACATGAGTATAAACTGCATCTCCTTGAACCTCCCAATGGGTATACGAGATTAAACTATTTCCCGAACACTCTGATAAAATCTATGAGTGTAAACTATGTCCTTATGAAGGCTGATGCGTCGACAATCAGTCCGATATTGGTTCAGCAACAAGAATTAAAATTGCAGATCAAAGCACTAATTTTAGTTTAAGACTTCAACAACGGTCAAGCGATAAACGCAGCACCGAGAAAATTTTAGCTATTCTACAAAGCACTGAGTAGACTAAAAGAAGAAGAAGTTAAGAGTTGAAGTCGTTCATAGGTCCTTCTACAAGATCTCCTCAACTAAGCACTGAAGATATTACAAATAAGACCTATCTTATCCAAAGTGTCTCAGACTCCTTTATAAAAAATGAGTCTGAGATACTTTGAAGGGGGTATCTGTAAGCATAAAAAAATGCTTATGGACATCCAAATACTACTCAAGACAAAGAGAAGATGATAAACGCCACTATCTAAGTCATGGGAGATCATACAAGACCAAAAGAAGCAAAAGGATCTGTGAATCAACACAAAACAATGGGAACTACCACATGTGAGCGTAGCAGTGCTGGCTGCCGCGCATAGGTGCGGCAGTGATTGCTGCCGCGCATAGCCGCGGCAGTAATTAGTGTCACGCAAGTGATGGGGAGGTGTCACGCAAGTTCTAGAATAGTTATGTAATGATTTTTTAAAGTCTACTGTTTGTGGGAAAATTTGCAGTAAAAGAAACGAAGGAAAATTGATTTGTATTCCTTTAATCTTAGTTACAATTGGATTTCCTGATTACAAAAAAGAGGAGAATGAATTTGATTCTCCCCTTTGTTTAATTCTGGGTTCTTCACGGTGGCGATGGAGTGCCTTCCTCGAATGCTCGCGTCGAGTTTGCTCTCCGTTTACGATCCGCACGTCTTGATTCACTAGAATGGTATCTCCTTCTCACGATTTGACGCTGTGGAGAACTTGCAAAGAAAGTTTTAGAACTCCTGATGAGTTGATTGATCTTAACCATAATTGGTTACACAAGCCAAGGATCTCTTCTTTGCTGCCCAAGAGCTGGATGAAATATCCCCCCTCCAAAATCCAGCCTCCGAACTAAGCTGATTTCTTAGTTATTTATAAGGGATTAAGGGGTGTAACCGC